GATAAGGGGACCGTGTGACATGGGGATGTCGTGACATGGAGATGTTGTGACATGGGGTTATCTTGACATGGGACAGGGTGAGATGGGTTTGTCGTGACATGGAGATGTCATGACATGGGGGCAGTGTGACATGGGGATGTTTTAATGTGGGGATGTTTTTATGTGGGGATGTCGTGACGTGGGGATGTCATGATATGGAGACAATGTGACATGGGGATGTTTTAACATGGTGATGTCATGACATGGAGATGTCATGATTTGGGGATATCATGACATGGGGACGGTGTGACATGGGGATATTGTGACAGGAGAATGTTGTCACATGGGGATGTCGTGACATGGGGACATCAGTTTAACACAGGGATGTTGTGACATGGGGATGTTGTTATTTGGGTATATCATGACATGGGGACAGCGTGACGTGGGGATGTCGTGATATGGGGATGTTGCGATATGGGGATGTTGTGACATGGGGACAGTCTGATATGGGGATGTCGTGACATGGGGATGTTGTGACCTGATGATATCGTGACATGGGGACAGTGTGACATGGGGATGTCGTCACATGGATATATCATGACATGAAACTATCTTGACATAGGGGCATCGTGAGATGGGGATGTCATGTCACAGGGATGTCGTGACATGGGCATGTCATGACATGGGGATGTCGTGATATGGCGACAGTGTGACATGGGGATGTGGTGACATGGGGACACTGTGATATGGGGATGTCATGACATGGGGATATCTTGACATGGAATGTCATGACACGGAAATACTATTTGGGGATATTGTGACATGGGGGCAGTCTGACATAAAGATATCGTGACTTGGGGATGTTGTGACATGGGGATGTCATGACATGGGGATGTTGTGACATGGGGACAGTGAGACATGGGGATATGGGGATGTCATGAGACGGGGATGTCGTGACACGGGGATATTGTGACATGAGGATGTTGTGACATGGGGACAATGTGATATGGGGATGTCGTGACATGGGGATGTTGTGATATGGGGATGTCGTGACATGGGGACAATGTAACAAGGGGATGTCATGATATAGGGATGTTGTGACATGGGGACATCAAGACTTGGGGATGTCAGTTTAATACAGGGATGTTGTGACATGGGGATGTCGTGATATGAGGATATCATGATCTGGGGACGGTCTGACATGGGGATGTTGTGATATGGGGACAGTGTGACGTGGGGATATCATGACATGGGGATATCATGACATGGGATTGTCACAACAAGAGGATGTCGTGACACAGGGATGTTGTGACATGGAGATGTCATGATTTGGGGATATCGTGACATGGGGACAATGGGACACAGGGATGTCATGACATGGGGACGTTGTGACATGGGGATATTGTGACATGGGGACACAGTGTGACACGGGAATGTCGTGACATGGGGACAATTCGCCATGGGGATGTCGCGACAGGAGGACGTCATCACACGGGGATGTCGCGACATGGGGGCAATGTTCCACTGGGATGTCACGACACGGGGACATCTCCATTTTGGGATATCGGGATTTGGGGTCAACTCCATTAGGGGGCGTCTCCATTTGGGGTCACTGCGATTTGGGGTCACTGCGATTTGGGGTCACGGTGATTTGGGGTCGTCTCTATTTGGGGTCATTGATTTGGGGTCGGGATTTGGGGTCAGTGAGATTTGGGGTCACTGTGATTTGGGATCATCTCTATTTAGGGACATTGTAATTTGGGGTCGTGGTGATTTGGGGTCATGGTGATTTGGGGTCGTCTTTATTTAGGGACATTGCGATTTGGGGTCATGGTTATTTGCGGTCACTGTGATTTGGGGTCATGCTGATTTGGGGTTGTCTCTATTTGGGGTCATTGATTTGGGATCACTGAGATTTGGGGTCATGATTTGGGGTCAGTGAGATTTGGGGTCATCTCTGGGGTCACTGAGATTTGGGGTCACTGATTTGGGGTCGTTGAGATTTGGGGTGATGGTTATTTGGGGTCACGGTGATTTGGGGTCATCTCTATTTGGGGTCATTGATTTGGGGTCACTGAGATTTGGGGTCAGTGAGATTTGGGGTCACTGTGATTTGGGATCATCTCTATTGAGGGACATTGTAATTTGGGGTCGTTTCTATTTGGGGTCATTGATTTGGGGTTGTGGTGATTTGGGGTCATGGTGATTTGGGATTGTCTCTATTTAGGGATGTGATTTGGGGTCATCTTTATTTGGGGTCACTGTGATTTGGGGTCCTGCTGATTTGGGGTCATCTTTATTTAGGGACATTGTGATTTGGGGTCATGGTTATTTGGGGTCCTCTTTATTTGGGGTCACTGTGATTTGGGGTCATGGTGATTTGGGGTCATCTCTATTCAGGGTCCTCTATTTGGGGTCATTGTGATTTGGGATCACTGTGATTTGGGGTCATCGATTGGGGTCATGGTTATTTGGAGTCATCTCTATTTGGGGTCATTGATATGGGGTCACTGCGATTTGGGGTCCTGCTGATTTGGGGTCATCTCTATTTAGGGACATTGTGATTTGGGGTCATGGTGATTTGGAGTCCTCTTTATTTGGGGTCACTGTGATTTGGGGTCGTCTCTATTTGGGGTCATGGTGATTTGGGGCCGTTGATTTGGGGTCCCGCTGATTTGGGGTCATGTCTATTTAGGGACATTGTGATTTGGGGTCATCTCTATTTGGGGTCATGATGATTTGGGGTCCGGCTGATTTGGGGTCATTTTTAGGGACATTGTGATTTGGGGTCATGGTGATTTGGGGTCGTCTTTATTTGGGGTCCCTGTGATTTGGGGTCATTGATTTGGGGTCAATGTGATTTGGGGTCATCTCTATTTGGGATCATTGGTTTGGGGTCCTCTCTATTTGGGGTCACTGTGATTTGGGGTCCTGCTGATTTGGGGTCATGTCTATTTAGGGACATTGCGATTTGGGGTCATGGTGATTTGGGGTCACTGTGATTTGGGGTCGTCTCTATTTGGGGTCGCTTTGATTTGGGGTCATTGATTTGGGGTCATCTCTATTTGGGGTCGTCTCTATTTGGGGTCATGATGATTTGGGGTCTTCTTTATTTGGGGTCGCTGATTTGGGGTCACTGTTTCACCCTCTGCCCCCCTCCTCCCCCCCCACAAGTGCCACCACCACCACCTGCTGTCCGTCCGTCCGTCCGTCCGTCCGTCTGGTGGCACGGCCATTAAATGGCTTTGATGGAGGCTGTCTGTGGGGTCAGTCGGGGTCATTTGGGGTCAGTCGGGGGTCACACGGGGTCAGGGGGTCACTCGGGGTCATTTGGGGGGGGTCACATGGGGTCGTTCTGAGGTTATTTGGGGTCATCCTGGGGGGG